GTCAATTATCTAAGGAGTTCAAGATTGTGAAATAAAGAAAACAAGGTGCCTTTTCAGTGGTTTTGTCTTAGCAATCGGCAATCCGAACAGGAAGAAAATTGAAAAGATTGAAGGATACTCAAGAGATAGAAAGAGAAGTTATGTCGATGAATATTCGTTGAACTCTCCTTCTTCTTCTCGACTATCTCTCTTTCCTCGTTCAATTTTTCCCGCTGAATGCAGACGTACAGTACTTAGCCACTGTAACAAAAAAATTGAGAGCATTTTTTTTAGAGCTGGAGTATTTTGGTTTATGGCAAGGAAAATAAGGAGGACCTTTCGATTCCTTTTCGATGCAACAAGTCCGACGTACACCAAAGAAATGCTCAAAAAATTTGCTAGGTATTACTATGCCTGTTCATCGTACGTGTCTTTTCATTCTTTTCTTCGTAAGTCAAAAATCAAATTGATCAGTGGTTGCGGCAGCGAGTAGTTCATTTCATCAGCTGTGGTGTCGCACAATAGCTAGCATTTTTTATTTTCTAAAGAATGGAAAACTTGCATCACAAAAATTAACGCACTTTGAATTATTAAGGACAAAAACAAAATATCTATGAATATAATCCTGAAATGAGAGAGGATTAAAAAAGAGAACTGTTTACTACTGACGATAAAAAAAACCTTTTTATTTTTCTCGTTCTACCTAATTATGAGATGTAATCCTTACCTTAGTGCGTCAATAAATTGAAATGGTTTACCGTGTACTAAAACGTGCGTGAATGAAAATATCAAATATGCCTTTTTTTTAGTCAACGGCAAACAAGATTATGAACCTATCGAGTTATTAGTGAGCCACTGTGTTGGCAGTGTGAACTAAAGGCTTCTTCGTCCATGTGTAGGTGAAGAGAAGGGAGAGATTGGCTTTTAGCAGCGTCACGATGCAAACATCTTTGCCAACAGGTGGATTTGTTACTGGATTTGAATAATACCCTCTCAGAGAGAAGTCTTATTTACTTGGCAAATTGAATCTAAACGTTTGCGCTCATGATAAAGAAAAAAAAGAGCGTTTCTAATTATTTTTCAAGTTTACAAGCAAATAGGTTTCTATTCATTTTCTCTTTCTCTCTCTCTCTCTCTCTCTCTCTCTCTCTCTTTCTCTTTCTACGGAACTTTTAATTACAAGTATTTTGCTTTCTGAAGTGGATTGAAAAAATAGCCTTTATTCACTTTGACGTAGAGATCGAGTAACATGTGTACGTGGAATCAAACTTGTTCGAATAATGTTATTCGATCTTCACCAACGTTTGAAAAATATGTAAAATTTTGAACCGTTATGATAAAAGAGTATCTAAATTCGAAGATAACCATGTAAAAGATGAAGATACTCAGCTCGAGTTGAAAAAGAATTGCCTTTAGTGTGAAAAAGTGAAATGATAATGCACTAATAAACCTACTAGGAAACGAAGCAATATATGAAATTCATAGGATCAAGTATACAGGAGAGAGAGAGTGTAGAACTTCGTGCAAACGCATGATGAGATGTTAACGGCTCTGACAAGTTTTGCTTATTGACTCGACGCTCTCTCGTGGCCAGCTCTGCTGGCAACTAATATACAGAAGTTAATACACGTGTGTGCACAGTACCCGTAGGAAATTTTCCGTCATTCCTGCGCATATAACGTGATTATACTTTAGTGCGCGTATTAATGTCAGCACGCATGTCACGAGGGATATATATTATACAATACTTCGATAAATATACGCAAATACACACGAAGAGATTTGCAATGACCCAAAATAATGCATTTGTCATGAATTTGCGTGGATTACAATTATTGGAAAAATTATTAGTGCCATCCAGTGGTATAATGCACATAAACGACATTAAGTGGAAATTACGTTCGGCGAAATAATTAAACCGCTTTACTCGTTATACACGTGCGAATTAACGCTTCAATTATTCCATTGAGTTGTGTTGTACTGGGATACGAAAGACAAAAAAAATCGTACGTGTGGTGCGCTTGTGGAAATTTGCAAATTTTTGCACGATTCTTATTTTCAACTGCCGTGTGTTTCTTTGTCAAAGCCGTTGAACGATATGTACAACGTGTGTGTGTGTGTGTGTGTGTGTGTGTGTGTGTGTGTGTGTGTGTGTGTGTGTGTGTGTGTGTGTGTGTGTGTGTGTGTGTGTGTGTGTGTGTGTGTGTGTGTGTGTGTGTGTGTGTGTGTGTGTGTGTGTGTGTGTGTGTGTGTGTGTGTGTGTGTGTGTAAGTTGTATAGTAGAACACTAAACTCGGGTGACAAGGAATGAAAGTGAAGAAAGAAAAAAAAAACACGCATATTTGTCTGATATAGACAAAGGTTATTGTGTCTGTATACATTAGTGATTAAAATGCATGCTAATGACAAATATAACACCCTCTATTTTATTAAAACTGACCAAGAACGTTCCGCAAGATATTTTGTGTCAGAAAAACGATTTGTACTGTACGACTGTGCATCTCACATGTGTATGTATGATGAATTGCAACTCGACATGTGGGGAAAAGAAACCGGAAAGAGATTTTTTCCGTTCTAAAAATAACTTCAGGTTGTGTAGTTCAGTTTTAATAATCTAGTATAATTTATTTGTAGTAAAGTCAAAGTTGAAATTTTAATTAATTGCAATATTCGTATGATCAAAGCGAAATTTATATATGTATGTAATTACGTTATAATTAGAAATCCAATTTTAAATTCAAATGTTCATCGCAATTCATAACTCTCTCTTCCCTTTTGCCGACTTCATACACATTTAATTCATATATCTCTCCCTCTCTCTATCTTTCTCTCTCTTTATACCGCACATGTCAATTAAATCTCTATGCCGACGTCAAACTTTTCCTAGACGTAATTTAATTTAAGATCTAAAATAGCTGCGTATGACATTGAAGTACAACCTTAAAATTATCTCGGCGTTTACTAAATGTTATAGTTGGATTTTCCGTCGAGTACGTATATATATATATATACGATAAAATTTCGAGTAAAATGTCACCTAGCAGTGATACGCCGAGCAACTGCAGTGAATTTAATTAATGGTAAGTTTTCAAAATGGAAAATCTTTTGCCGTGCCGCGATGAATAATGTGAGCTCTCTTCGCGCGTGCGAGAGGAAAAAAAGTAGTTCATATTCATGCGTTACTTCTCTTCTCTTTTTTTTCCGAATTTTGATAGCACGCCATGTAATGCAAAATGGTTACTTTATGAATCTTTCATTTCGCCTAATGAAATATGAATTTTCAGTTTATTTCTCTGTACACGGGAGTTATAGTAGTTTAGACGATGATTCTACGTGAAAAGTGCGACTTACGCGAGAAAGTACATTTACATCAAAAAGAAAAGTTTCTGCCGTAACGATGTTTAGTCACCTTTAGTACTAGAATCTCCATGTTTTTCAATCGGACGTCTACCCATTCGATTTAGTATTCCGTATCGCGAACACATCGAGAGAGAAACTGTCTCTTCTTTCGAACATGTTACTCTGGGGACGAATTTTCTCTTTCGGGCAATCCGACTGCGAACCGTGTGCGACGTTTCACTAATTAACCGTTTGGGCGGCCAATTCCTCGACGTTTCTTTCCTCTCCCTCGACAATATTTTTTTCTTTATTTAACGTTACTTCCCCGCCTTTCCAATCAATGATTCTTTATTTGCGAGCGTGTGGTGGTAGTTCGTCGCGCGCATTCACTTTTATCATCGGTGGCCTGATTGATTACTCGAGGAATCGACAAAACGAAGCGGTTAAAAGTCAGTCGGACGTATTCTTTTATTCTTTCTTTTGTTCTGGGCTTGTTTTGAAGGGGATTTAATTCGAGGATTTATAGCCGCGACCGAGATGAAGACACAAAGAGAGAAAACGGAGAAGGTATATCGCTGAAAATTATTTTCTTTCGACGATTTATCGACTTTCTTTTGTTAATTGGTTTGCAAGTAATCTCGCTTTATCGGAAATATTGTCGTAAATTCTGTCAGGAATATACGTATGCGCATTTAAAATCAACATTTAATGCAAACATATGCATGATATAGACAGCGATATTTGTCATTTAGATAGAGGCGTGCTCTCTCTAATCAAATATTTATCCTATAAAATGTTTTTGATTGCGAGCTGAAATTGGAAGCCGCATACGCGATGATGCATTTCTGTGTGCCTGTATACATTCATTTGTACAATACGCACATATAATTTTTCACCCAAAATAGAATGCATATTCAACGTGGCAATCAATATTGATAAGTAACGAAGCATTTTGAACATGTATTTTGGTGTGAATGTATGATTGCACGGCCATATATACAACTCGATAGTATCGTAACATCGTTATGTGTTGACTTTACTACAAATATTTTAATTAGCAACTGTTTTAGTCAGAACGTTAGATAAAAAAATATATAGCTATAAATTCTCTAGTGATTAGTGTTTTTGTGTACGGGTGGGTTTATACTTGTTAGAAACTTGCAGATCTCCTTCAACCCAAAAAAACTTTAAAGTTTTGTAAAAACTTTTTGATCCGCAGCTCAGTAGTGTAAATAACAGTGTACTGGAGAAAAAAACTGTCTAACAAACTTGTATATGTTTGTCTATCATTATTCTCGTATCTTCTTCGTTACACTTATGGACGTAACGAGTATAAATTTTATTCAAGAGAATGAACACCCAAACAGGAAAAGATTTTGCTCAATCAGAACGAACGTCATTGCAAGGATTATAAGACTATTTTCTTTTAGATCCTATAAGAACTATTAGAGATGATAATAAATCATTGTAAACTTCAAAAAACTTGGGTTAAAAAGATGAAAAATCAATGTTGGAGAACACATACACCAAAGAGGTATGTATTTAGGGATATTCCTGGTTGTAAATTTAATATCGTTTGGTTTAAAAAAATATTGTTGAAAGAAAAAGAAATACAAGTATATGTCTTAAACTATGTATGAAGAATTAAAAGCTGCAATTAAGACCTATATGAGTAATAGTACCATTTTGACTTCTGATAGCGAGCTGATACTCAAGACGTACATGGTGACGCCCACCTCGACGGGAGGACCTGAAATTGAAGGTTTTAATGTTCACTGAGTCGACCGTTTAAGGCCGAGTTGTTGTTGTTATTGTCATTAAAAAAAGGGTTTTATTATATCTTTTTTTTTCGTTAAAAGCGTGATTTTCATCCATTAATGAGAGTCTGTTAAAAATTTCATAATAAGTAATTTTTATAATTATGAAATAAATAACTAATTCTATGTTTGCTAAGCAGCTTTTAAAATACAGCTTATTTACCTATTTTTTTCGTTTACACGACATGTGAGAATTGTTATGTGGTGTGTGTGCGTTTTTTTTTTTGCTTCTCGCAAAGCCATGTTCATCGGTTATACAGCATTTTCAGCCCAATCTTCTCGTCGCGCATGCCTCGACGATGCAAGAAAGAAACGATTCGTCGCATCCATCGCGATAAGAGGAAAGAAGAGTGAATGAATACTCGAGCACGAGACCTACTGCATTAGCCATTATAGTAGAATCTAAATAGTATACTCGAGGTGCTGCTTTCCAAAAGTATTTCGCCCAGCAAACCTCGACGCGGCGGCAGCGGCGATAGTAGCTATGAGTGGGGAATAGAAACCACAAGGCAGTTGGCAGTACTAGTTCCAGCTCGTTGCGGACGTTAAAGCGGCTCATTGAGCGATACCTTCCGAATGTTCAAGTTTCCATTGTCTAACGGAAAGCGGGGTTAGAGAGCATGTGCGGAAAGCAGAGAGAGAGAGTGAGAGGGAGAGAGAGAGAGAGAGAGAGAGACTAGAGATCGCCGGGCTACCGAGTTGCTAGAAGAGAGGGGAGTGAGACGGCCAAGTTAGTTGGCTGCTTTTTGTTTATATTAATTGAGCGAATGGGATTTCGCACGATCGCGTGCGGAGGATATTGAAGTCTCGTTAATGGATGGAGTATACCTAGTGCAGCCGTTTAGAAAGTTGAAAATGCGAAATAACTTTTCGAGGTGGATGAAATGCGACCAAGCAAAGCAAAACTAGAAATTGTTTTTGTTTTTTAGATTCATTACTGTGGGATGTCGAATTGTTTTGTAAAAGCGAGGCCTATTTGACAGCGAGTGTGAGCAGCGTTGCGAGATGTAAGGAACGCACGCTGTCATTGATAAGAAAATAAACAACGACATCAAGATAGACTGAGAAGTTGTTTGGCGTTGTTTCCGACCCCCTCATCTTACGCGTATGTACTTCAGGGCGTGCATCCTCATGTACACGCATATCGAAGCACCCGCGCGCAACGGTATAGTCGACATATAGTCATCCGGAAACTCTCTACCGACTGCGATAAAGTTCAGCCGTAAACAACATTCCTGCAGACGCGCAACTCTTTTATTTTAGGACGTTGAAACTGATGCGCGAGCTGATTTTTCACTATGAAAGTATTTTTTTACGGCTCCGAGAAAGATCAGTCTGTTACACATGATTTCGCGATATGAAAAAATTGATGCTTTCAGTTTTTAATCTTAGTCCATCATAAAGTTTTTTATTAATTAATTTTTTTTAAACCTAGTAGACCTTCTCTCTCTCTCTCTCTCTCTCTCTCTCGAATGGACGAAAAAGATTAATCCCTTGAAAACTTTTAGGTCACGTAATGGAGGTACATATACATCAATAATACTAAAAATAAGTATATTTTTTATCTGTCGAGTAAACAAATCAATGTTGCGTTCGAACATATGAGAGTCCGAATGAGAAGCTCTATTGCGATACGTGAATGATGTTTTCAGTAACACGCATTTGGATGCCTACGCGAATGAAAGCCTCTTAATCTTTGTCAAGAGCCTTTTAATCTTACTGAGAGTGAAGATTAAAAGGCTCTCATACATGTTGGATTACAAAATATAGTAATGTAATTTGTGCATGCGCCTAACTTAATATTGACTCGATCTAATGAGCGTTTGTTTTTCTTTTCATCCGAGTAGAAGGGTTGCGCAGTAGTAGATGAATTTCGAAAAGTTGAAAGTAAAGTACTTGCAATGTAACGAGAAAATTTACAAAGGAAGCTTGCATTCAAAAGAGTACGATAACGCGAAAACTCGCTTGAAAGTACGATGTCGGTGATGGTTCTATTTTTGAAGCGAGAGAAGAGAAATCTGTTAATTACGTAAAATGCAAGAAACGGGCGCGTGATTCTAAGCGGATTTTACCGTAATATTCTCACAGCTAACGTAAAAAGTGAAAAAAGAAAACGAAAATTCCATATGAAGCTTTCCGGAATTTTATCCGTTGCGGCTACAGCACTATTCGAGTGAATTTCTACACTGCCATTAGTGCGTCTTATATCCTCTCTCTTGTTTCCCTCTCTCTCTCTATCTCTATCTCTATCTTTTGTGCTGGATATTCAATAGAACTTCCTGAAAGAGACCATCGCCACAGCTAATTCTTGGAAAATCGGAATTCATTAGCTGCGTTGGCAAACGAAGTAAACAAGACAATTCGCCAAAAGCTATGCAGAGCGCGATTGTCAACGAGAAAGAGCAAAAGGAATTCAAATACTTTTCCTCACACTCGTAGCTCGAGGAAGAGGGAAGAGAATCTGCCACGTGCCGTAGAAAGTCTCGTGTAAAACTCTCCCTTTGTCTGGGTTTTCGGCCCCGAGAAAACGTTCTTTGTCGGTTACGAGGTTCCGGGCGTACTTCTTGCTCGAGATAATACGCGTGCGAAGGGAAACTTTCGCTATCGATCGTCCATGGGCTCTCTCTCTCTCTCTCTGATTCGAAGAGAAAGAGGATGGGAGAACGCGTGCATTTTGCGTTTTTTCTTCATCTTCTCTCTAGCAAGAACTAAAAGTGGACTTTTCCTTTCGCTTCACCTTATTTCCGATAAATAAACTCGTATGTTCTTTAACATGAGCTATGCTCGAAGCTAATTATCGTGCGACGAAATCTGTTGAACCTTACTACTGACGGATTTTATTTCGTTTAATACATACGTGTGTTGCAAAATTAGTTGCGAGAGATATGCGATGACAGGTTTTAATAAAAATAAACAAACATTCGATCTTCCACGTGTATGTCTGACCTTACTCCAATATTACTACTTTGCACTTTAATTTATATTCAACAAAATGTCGGTGAAACGAAATATTCAGTTCAGTTGAAAAAGAATAGAAGAAAAAAACGTTAGATCAATGTGTTCCCACAATAGTCTCGTCAATCCATACCCACAAGATAAGAATAGATTTGCAAATCACGATTTCCACGGAGAAACAACAAACAATAAATTTCAATCTTTAAATCCTCTTTTTCTCTCACACACGCAGCCGCTACTTTTATCTCAGTGGCTCTCGACAAGACAGAAGAAAAAAGGGGCAAGACAAACTCATACGCGAAGGTAAACATGGGAAGCCTCGCGCGGTGTATATAGCAAAAGAAAGCTTCGAAAAGACGCTACACATCGTTTATAATTCCAAGTTTTCACTATCGAGAAGAAATAAATCAACCGTCAGATGACAGTTTGTAATATGTTTCCTCGACACGGTCACGGAATGCCACGTGTGTTGTGCGCGCGGATGAACCGGCGAGGAAGCAAACCCGGGGATGCCCGTTAACAGTAACCCCTAGCAACCGGCGTCCCCAGCATCGATCCAAAACGCAGCCCCGCCCTGCGCGCAGCAGCAGCACCCAAGCACCCGCCGCTGCCGCCGGCTTTCCACACATACACACACACACACACATGCGCGCGCGTGCGCGCGTTATACGATGTCTTTATTGCCGGCGAAAATTTCACTTTCCACACCTGCGCGACTACTCCCACACACAAATCCTTCGCTGCGGAAATTTTCACATCGGCGTGCTGCTAAGTATTGCTTTTTGTTTTCTTCGTCGAGAGAAAGCGTATACTTTGTTCTTGTTTGCGGTGGAGGCGAATAATCAAAACAATCTGAAGTTTCGGAAAGAATTTGACGCACTGTATCGATAGAATTCTTCTGTTTGGCAAAAATATATTTAGCAAACTAGTGATACACTGTTAGCGTTGAATTTCCATTAAAAAAATCCATGGATTACCCAGGCGCATATATGTGTCGAGATAGAAAAGTAGTTGGAAAGCTGTTGACGAAATATAACAGATTGACGGTGAGAGCGAGCGAGTGGCAGCAACTGGAAGAACATAGCGCAGACGTCAAATTTGTTAATGCAGCTTATACGGTACACCGGGATGCGCGTGTCAACGCAAGCATCGAGGGTCCCAACGCGCACATTGCCCTCCTGTGCGAGCCCGGAAAGACCCATAAATTTGGCTCTATTAGAACCTTCTTGCATCGGCTCAGCATCTCGTGACGAAATGCTGGAAATTTCAATAGCAATTGATGAACGCCTACTCTCTCTCAATTTATATGTTGCAATGCATGGCTTTGCCAAATGTCAAATAGTTTTGTTTTGTGTTTGGTCGTCTCTTCGTTGTGTGTAATATGGATGCGATGGCTCGTTTTATACATAGATTCTTTTCTTTTTTTGTTCGTTTATGCACATTCAAAATATATCTACGCTACGCTTTACCTGAAATCAAATCTCATTAGGATAATGAAGAAATCGATATCACTTTCACGTAAAACTCACGCTTACAAAATTGTCCATTTGTCCTAGTGCAACCAATTAATTTTGTCTGGAAAATCTTATGTACTCTTCAGGTTGTTTTCTATTTTCTCTTTTATTTAGAATGATGATAGATGACTTTTTTGTGCGGCACGACGCTCGACGTGCCTGGATGGATGGGATTTCCCGTGATATTCGACGTGCACGGTGGCATGCGAGAATTTTGGCACTAAATTTTGCTGCGTCGTCTCTCTTTTCTCGCATTATTCCGAAAACCGTTCGCGTACGTATATGCAAATGTTTTATGCTCTTGATGTGCATTCATATGTATTTTCATTCTCACCTCGAAAGCGTAAAGAGTCCCTCAAATTGTCTTGACTATAAGGGTTGTTGCATGATATGACTTGAAATAATCATAAGCTCTGCCTTAGAATGTGTATTGTTGTGCAAGGCTTTATAAGAATAACAATTATGTTTCAATTGTTTGAGACAGTGTTTAGGTCGAACTTGCAAATCTCGCGACTTGAGCCTTGTTTTAAAGAATTAAGACGCTTTTACTAGTTGGGATTGAATTACTGGCAGTTAATTCAATGTTTTCATTTTATTACGTGTTAGGGTTCTAAAGAAAGATTGTTTTCGTTTCTTTAGTTTTTGAAACTGCTTTTGTCACTGTTCATTTACGTTACAAAACAATCTATACAACTAGTTGTACTCCTATGAGTCTTTAAAATATTTACCTATTGGAAAATATTATTCAAACATTTTTTAAATAATTCTCAACATTCAAATTTGCGAAATTATTAAATTTAAAAAAGTGAACAATTACATTTATTCAACTGTATTTATGTATTCAAACATTTGTGTAATCAAGTGCATATTGAAACATCCCATACAGATAGCATGTGAATTGCATATACTTACGCGTGTATGATTTTCGGCGCAATAAAATATAATGAAAAGCCCTAATGCAACGTAGGCGTTCACGCGCGCATATATTAGAATCCAATTAGGCCAGATTGTTACGTTCGCCGCGCTTGTTTTTTTTTTTCGTGATAATGCCCCACCAACCAATCATTAAAACTTATCGAGAGATCGTGTCATTGTATATGATTTTTCAATGGCGCGGCTCGAAAACAATATTTATATAATAAAAAAAGAAAAAAAAAGAAAAAAGGAAGACATATAATGGCAGAGAGAATGCCGATGAAAGTTTTTTTTATTTTTTGGGAGTTGTCGAAGCGGCTCAGTTTTAGTTACTAACCTCCGTAGTTCGGCCTTACTCTTTTGTCATAGCTCACGGAAAATGAGTCCAGGATCGCCGAGATGTTCACGTCGCTGTATGCACTTCCGCCTCCCGTCCTGAAATCCCAACAATAAACAATAAATTAGCTGTTATTACTTTTACTGACAATTGTGAATTCTTAAAAAATTTTTGTGACAAAAAATAGGCAATTATGTCTGCTTTACGAATTCGAACTTAAATTATGTATATGGAATTCGATGCTTAATTAACTTTCAATACCATTTATTTTGAACAATAATTTAATAATTTCGCATTTAATGCATGATTTAGTAGATAATGAATATTCGATATCAAAAGGGATTTAATTTTTCTGGCTAATTATAAAGATTAAATAAATTTAGGTCTCGATTAACGATAATTTAGATCATTTGCCAGTGTAGCGCTCATTAAAATGCGATCACTTATTAAATAGAAAAATCTATTTCGATCATTCGATCCATGCTTCAAGCGAAACCTGAAAAGGGAATTACGACGAAGATTTAAAAATACAATCGTGTATTTCGATTTCATCCTGCAAGAAAGTTCCACTGAGATACAATACCTCTATTCGAAAGTTTCGCATTGATTATAAAGTCCGTTAGAGAAAGATCTCGGGTGGACGGGAAAATAAAAACCACTTGAAGTTCGATTAAATAATGCGTCGATGCATTAAAGAAAGTCCCCGAGCTCGCTGGAAAAGATGCTAATGCGACTTTTTCGTGCTTCTGCTCTTAATGCATCTCTGGCATAATTTAAGGGCTGACGCGCGTGTATCGTAAATAACCGTTAAGTTAATTAAGCCCGGGCCATCGCGTTTGTGTGAAAAGAAGTGAGTGCAGGCAGGAGTAACCAGTGGCTGGCGGCAATGCGGCCAAGTTGAAAAATTATTTGAGGTCAAAAGAGTTATTGGATAAATTCGCGAGGGCGAATCAATTACTTAGCAACTGACTTTTATGGAGTTTTAATTTTTGAAACGGGCTGGAATGAAAGAGCTTAGTAATGCAGCGCCTCGCTCTCGCCGCCGACTCTTTCGCATTCGAAAGCTCCATTTTTTCCTCTTCGTTTCGTAGGATTTCCGGATATATATTTGTTGGGAAAATTTTTCTCAGAGTAAGCCCTCTTTCAACATTTTCGTCTACGTTTTACAAGTCTACGATGCTTGCAAAAGCTCTCAAGCTGTCATTTAATTGAATATTAATAATTTTTGTCGCAAACGTTCAGAAGATAAGTACTCTATAACACCCGGAAAGGAAAAAAATGCCATCCCATCCACTGTTGTATTAAACGACGATATTTCAATTTTTATAACGAGCGAACAAGAAAGAAACAAAAGCCGTGGGGCGATTAATTCGCTTTAGCTCATGGAACTTGACCGTAGCATCGCTGGAAAAACTATATGATATCCGCTCCGTTCGCGCGCGAGGCTGAGTTATAAGCGCGAGACCTGGGGATAAAGAGGCAATTGCGCCCGTACCTTTTGCGCTTTTTCACATTTAGGTGGTGATTAATTCAGAGTTTTATGTGCTAAGCGTGACCGAAAATTTTCCAAGGAACGAAATCGACTGTATGACGTTATGCATCGTTAGGTACTTTGATTTATATTTCCGATTGAATTTATCAGCAATTATGACTTTTTTAAATTATGAATGTTTATGCGCATCAAAGCTACATTACACCATAAATGAACGACGTTCATCAACGTCGAACTTAATTCAAGAGCATTCCATGACACAAGGCAATTAGCCATCCGTTCGTCGACAATTGAAGAAAATTAGCCATACTGCAAGTTAGTTCTCTCTCCCTCCCTTGCAGTCTCTGGAGAGGTTTTGCAATACATCATCTTTGACTGTGCGATAGTAGTGGGACGCGGAGAGGGGGGGGGGGGGTGGAGTGCGTGTTAGTTGAGCGGCCCTTAATTATGTAAATCTGGAGTGTTTGTGCCGCATCTTCGCTTATAGCGCCACTCTCGCAGTCTCTCGCGCTTGGACGCACCTCATTGTTCGTGCCTGTGCCTCGAGCTTTCGGCTTTAGTGTTATTTATACATATTAGTCTAGGCAGACTAGGAGAATCACCAACAATAACTGCAAGTAAATATAAGCTTTGAAGGGAAGGTGCGTATCGTGATGTTGAAAGAAAATATTGTTAATATATTACGTTCGCCGAATGAAAAATGTCTGTGCAAATTAGAGCAAAAACAGGTAAAACACACGATTTTTCACTTCTTCATGACGAACTTTTATATGTAAAGTCACGTAATATCTATTACTTTTTAACACTTTTTATTTGTACGCTTATTTATATTTACTTACAGTTATTGTTGATTTTGGACTTTGCTGTTGCTAGAATGCCTGGACTATATTCCGACTCATAGATTTGTAACATTTTGCTTGCGGATATTGTGTAAATTCAAGTTACCCTCGATTTTATTTTGGATTTTTGTTAGATGGTAAACATTATATACGTTGCGAGTCGACTTTATCGTTGTATTTGAAAAAATAAATATGTGTGTCTGAGATAGCTTTGTTTATATTTTTTCGAGTTCGCTTTGCCGGCAACCCGACGTTGTTAGTGATTTATAAACTACGTTGTTTTTTTAGTTGTGATTTATTTTTTTGTCATCGATTGTATAACAGTGAAATTCCAACGAATGACGAGAACTTGGATCTTGGGTTTATGGTATTTATTGTTTTGATCGCCGTACACATTTGAGGACATAAGGTAAATCGGTACCATATGAAATTTGTTTCCAATAAGATATGGGTTAGTTTATTTTTAATTAATGTAAACATTTCAACTGAAATTTTGGTTCATTATAATTTGAGTGGAAGTGTTTTTTATTTGCTAGAGAGACAAGTCCAATTTGTCAAAAAACTTGGCATCGCGACCTCACTTAGATTTATACTTGTTGCTATGTTGACAAGGAGATACTAGCTACTGTATTAGTAAACGATGAATGTATTTTAATAATAGAATATTACTAACATAAGGTACTCTTGCAGGATACAAATTATGCTTATTTCAGAATGGGGAGGATCACGTTCAAATTATTTATACAAAATTGAAAGTACTGAAAGATGAGATTGCAGCAGTAGAAAAAGTTGATTGCAAAAAATTGACTGATAAAGTGAAAATCAGCAAACAAATTAGAAATATAGAAAATGAAGTTGATAAGCTTAAAGCTGCTTTTGATAAATTATGTTTAGAAAAGGAAACAAAAAATACCCACACAATCTAAGGACGGAGTTTGAAGCTTGTGTTTCTCAAAATGTATCTAAAGTATTTGATCCAACGAATACAATAACTGTAAAAAAAGAGAAAAACGGCGTTACCATAACTTAAATGCTTGGCTAGAGTACCAACTGAAATTGAAAGTTCTGTGGGCAATTAAGAATTTAAGGCATAAAATGATGCATAAACAAGTAAATTTTTTCCAGATAGAAGATAAAAATTTTATTCTAATCAAAAATAATTTGTAGGACAAAGAAGATATCTAGATATGGGAGAATATGTTGGTAGTGAAGAGTGCTGACCTAAAATTAAAATTTATTTACCATGGCAATCACCAGAAAAACACATGGAAAATGTGTTGTTCTTTCTGGTCATTGTTTATCTATTAATGGAGAAAAGTATATGTAGGATAATAAGATGAATAGAGTATCAACATGCAAAGAGGATAATAAGCATACAAAATAATATAGTTTGTTTAATATTATGTTTAGCTTCAAGATAAATTTGTGAGATCATTGTGATGATATGGAAACAAGTTATGTTGCTTATGTTACAAAGTTAATTAATCAATTACCGAAGCTTTATATTGTTGTATATAGATATCGTTATTTCTAATCAGTATGTACATCAGTTATCCTTGTTGTATATTGAATAAAATAAAAAATTCATTTAAACTATAGTCTGTTTATACTGTTCACAATTCAAACATGATCACAAATCGCGAAAATGTTTGTCAAAAATTGTTCCATCGTACGATAGCGGAAATAACATTTAATGAATAAAGTTTTCATCGGTAAATACGAACCACTTTTCATGGCTGGGACAAAAGCCACAGAACGTTGAGCGCGGAAATTTCGAAATTTTCGCTAAAAGGCTGCTCCGATGGAACGATCGGAAAATCGTGTAATTAGCTCCTTCCTCTCTCTCTCTCTCTCTCTCTCTCTCTCTCTCTCTCTCTCTCTCTCTCTCTCTCTCTCTCTCTCTCTCTCTCTCTCTCTCTCTCTCTCTATCTGCCCGTAAAAGGTTCCGTGCTCACGTCAACGCATATCAGCCTTCGGCACTGTTCTTATTTTTTTACCTTTTATATAATCGATTCCGTTTTATTGCCCACCTACTACTACATTTCACTCTTTCTCTTTGCGCGCTATCGAATGTGTCGTACATGGGAAATTGTTACAAATTTGTTTATTTTCAATCACTTTGACATGTTTAATTGTTTTGACGACGAATGTATAACGTAAACTGACAAATCGTGGAAATTATTGGGTATCATTAAATTAATTGTATGTGAGCAGCCAAAACCATATGGATAGCAATAATTAATAGAAAATATTATTAGTAATGCATTTCGATCGATCGGAACATTGAGTATCATAAAATACATATGGTATTTATCATGTTCATATTGCATAAATGATAAAAAAAATTATTTATTTCATTGTAATTTCTAGTCACAGCGATTATCTTACTTTCTGTCCTAGGTAAGGCAATTAAACATTGTATTACTCTTTTACAGCGAACTGAAAACGGGGTAACTTTTTGAAGTTTTCTGAATAATTTATAGTGATCTATCAGTACAGTCAATCTGTTTAAGTTCATTATAAAAATACAATTTTAAAGAAAAAGGAAATTTCATGCTTTTATTTATGTTATTTTTATCATTCAAATAATTGTAAGTGAAGAAGTATTTCTTGGTAATTTTATCAAACTACTATTACAAATAGAATTACTTAAAGTAGAAATTTTCTTAGCAATTGAATTTTGTATAATTCGTTTGCGAGACGCGACGTAATAACTTTTTAATAAATTCAAATTCACTTCGAAAAGTATTATTGCACTAAATAAATT